AGGAAAGGACGGTAGCTGTAGTGGGGCATAGGAGGTGGGTTGAAAAGGCGGGAAGATATATCGTTGGGATAGACAGACTAGGGAAGACATTTTTAAGCCACGTTTGGCAAAGTAGGAAGAAACGATTGGCCATCGGTGATCGGTCCTGTGGGAACAATGCTCCGTCCTCTCGAGGACGCGTGGTCAATGGTCTAACCGCTAAGACATGCAAAACATAAGAGTACGCCCCCCCCTCCCCTTCATGCCCCCCCTCCCCGGTGTTTGCCATCGGGGTTGGGTGTTCGTCGCTTGGCAACGACGTTGTAAAACAAGCCGCCCCCCCCGGTATTTGCCATCGGGGTCGGTTATCGTCGCTTGGCACCGATGCTGTAAAACAAGCCGATCTCTTCGTGAACGCGGCAACCAGGTTACCGCTTTTTTGTTGCCTTTTTTTTCTGTGGTAACCATGAATGGTGGTCGAGTAGATTATGTTGTGCGGGGTCGAGAACCCTCACTCCGCGCAAAGGGGATAATCGATCCACGTTGTGTTAAATTGGTCAAGCACTCTCGAGGCAGTTACAAAGTGCTTACAATTGTCTCTGGAAATGAAAGCACCAAAAAAATAATTTAAGTCATACACAGTTCACAAGATGCCGAACACCCTTAGCAGGATGCATCGCACCCTTCATGCAACCTACTGAACACCTCACAGCGCTTCGCGCTTGGCTATGAGAGCCTGGTCCGGTGAGAACCCAGCGTGCCCCGTCCCGGCGTTGTAGGGACGCGACGTCAATGGTCTAACGACTTTGGCATGCGCGACTATGAGTACACCCCCCCCCCTTCATGTTGCCTCGAGCTCCGCCTCCTCGGTCGAGAATACGAAATCGATTGGCGCCTCCGGCGGTGTGTTCTGGAGCATCTCCACAACTTGGTCGAACATCAATTCTCCGCAGTCGACACCACAAGCCGCAACCACAGTCATGCCCCGCAACACGACTCCGGATTCCTTATGGGATCAAGCGTTCGTTGAATATCGAGCACGAAATTAAACTACAGAAAGAACACCGTTTTGGGTGCGGCGAGACGACGCAGTCAGTGTTGCTGCTGTTGACAAGGGCGCGATCTCACTGTAGATAGGTTAGTAATATTTCAGAGGCAATACACGGCGAAGAATCAAAGAGCCCGCAACGGAATGTGTGCGCGCTCACTAGCTATCTTTTCGCACTGCATGGTCTGAGCTACAAGGGAGAGTTACTGCTGTGCTCGGCGGTTACATGAACGGATCGCAACCGCAGCGAGACGGGTGACACTGAATGTTTTTCTCCAACGCCAACCTCGGCGCTCCCTGCCTCGACCATGTTGTCCACTCTTGGCCGGGCTTGCGAATTTCCTTCTGCGCTAGCATGAGCCCGATAGGCTTGTTTAGCCGAGCTCTCACTACGCTGCTGCCTATCCCCGCATTTCCTTCGCCGAAGCTCCCAGCAACCGTTACCGCTGGGGCGTTGGAGCGTGGTGCGGCCCGGAGCGGCGACGAGACGGGCAGGATCCATGCTTGGCGCACCTGCACCGGAAACGCCATCAATAGCAGCAGGAGGTACATATCGATCTGAGGCAGGCACCCTTTCCCTTCCCTCGCTCACCTTCACTCTCTCTTTCTCTCTCTCTCTCTGCCTTGCTGCCTCTCTGTTTCTCTCGGTCGCTCTGTGGTTGCCTCATTTCTGTCTCACGCGGGCGCATGATGTATAATCCCGAGTTGAAATCCTCGCGCAGGTTTACGAACTCCCGGCACCGCTGTTCTCTTCTTACTTCCTACACTGCTGCCACACTTCCCACCACAGCACAGCAGTTGGCCCACCGAGAAAATGCGAGCCGCTGTGCGGGTGCTTCTAAGCGTGTCAGCATTCGGTTGCGTTGCAATGGTGACTCCATCGAGCTCCGGAGGTGCTGTTGGCGCGACGGCGCCACAGAAGGTGTGGCACATCTGCACCGCGGGACTGTCAATTTTCCTTCTGTACTTCGAGAGGAGGATTAACCGACCCCCTCGCGTTTGAGCACAGTTCGCGGCCGCTACTGTGTAGGCCGTGCGTAGGACGTGGGTGAGGATTAGGGCCGGGGTCGGAGTGGGTCGGCCAGGGTGTATGACACATTCCATGTGAGGAACCTAGGTTAAACGTCGGTTAGACCTACTCTAAAGTGCAACAAGACCGTAAATAGACCTCGGAGAGTGTATGTAGACTATTATAACTATCTTTTGAATGCACGACATGCTCGACATGCACGACCCCAGGCGGTAGCGGTCTGAAACTGGGCCGTAGGGACGCCTACTCCGGGGAGTCCAGCATATCGTAGTGACCTGAGTGTTTGCGAAGCATCCGATGTCAATGCTGCAACAACCATCAAGCCCACACATTAGAGCGGGTGTGCCCTACTTGGCAAGTTCGGCGCGTGCCGTCCGGAACAGCAAGAAACCCGCCCCCCCCCGGGAGAGAAAAAAGAAAAAAGTCCTTTATACTTGATGCTTGATACATCGTTTTCGTCTTGTGTCACCCTGCCTTCGTTCCGGCACACCCGAATGGCTTCCTCTTAGCCGTGTTTCGTGGCCACCGTGTATGTGTGATTTGAAGCGCCGCAATCCCGATTCGAGAGCTGGGTTACTACTGTAATGAAAAAATCGCCTCTTTCAGCAAGTACGGTATTGTCTATGGTTCTAGGATCGGATGCAAGTGAACCTGCCGCGTGCGGCCCAGTTCGCGGCCGCTATGCCGTGCTTTGGCCGTGGGTGAGGGTTGGGGTTAGGGTTAGGGTTAGGGTAAGTGTAGATGTGGGGTGAGCAACCTTGCCTTGATCGCGAGAAGAACCTAGTCTTGCTACGTTCAACATCGGTTAGTCCTAAAGAGTTACTATCAAAGTGCAACCAAGGCTCCAGTGAACACAGGGGTCGGAGATATCGCACCCCCGTGTGATAGAATGACACTTCGTATATTGTCAAGAACGAAATGCTCTAATTCGGTTTTCGCAATAGTATCTGATATCGTGATATCGCATGGGGGAACGGGGGTGCGATATCACCGATCGATAACGAGTGCTCCGAGTAGTTCAGGGGCACCCATTGCACCAGAGGTGCCACGCGGTGTCATCGCAATGGTGTTGTAGCACGCTGTTGGCATTGCTCTGGAAAATCATTCAGAAGATTGGTCCCTTCGCGGTATTAATTCATGGAACCAACTCCGCGCGCCGGGAATGACATCATGTCTTGGTCTACAGCTGCAAAACTCTGCTGAGAAAGATACCATCGAACGCGCTAACCGGCTGACCAATGAAAATACCAAGGGTGCGTTCTGTAGGGTACTCACAGACCTATACCGGGGGTAATTACCCTCTGTAATTACCCTACAGAGAGGCACAGACCGTTCTGTAATATCCCCTGTACCCTACAGAATAGTTGTGTATTTGTATCATCCACCGCACCCTACAGAATAATTCTGTGCGTGTGTTTCATCCCCCATACCATACAGAAAAGTTCTGTGTGATTTTGTGATGCCTCCATACCCTACAGAATAGTTCTGTGACGTGCAGTCACAACACCCTATCTGCACAGAAAGTTCTGTATGATCCCCCGTACCCTACAGAACAATTCTGTGTGGTTCTGTGATGCCTCCGTACCCTACACAATGTGTGTACCCGGAACAATACCCGCAGCAAGGGTGATCTGTACATTACCCCGTGTGACGTCACCTCCGCGAAGCAAGCGGGAAGGTGATTCTGCACACACACAGACACATACACAGCCACCAGCACAAACAGCAGTGTCCACCCACAAGAACAACAGCGGTACTCAGACAGATCTCTGTCGAACCTCGAAAAGGAACATGAATGGTGCGGCAGCTCTTCTTCCGCGACCCCAGACACAATCACAAACGCGGGTGGTGGGATAGTCGATGGCGAGGGCGACACAACCGAAGGCACGCCCGGGAGCAACGAGCAGCAAGACTCGAACGTTGTAGGACATGCCGGAGGCAGCACTGGAGGCGTGCCCTTACTCAGCCCGAAATCAGTCTACAGCAACGACGGGAAGGTAGCGGAAGTGGATGCCGCCGTCACGACCGCGGTAGATAATTTCTCGGTGCCGGCTGGTTTCGTGAGAAAGGGCTCCCGCGTCGACTCGTTTATGTACTCGCTCGGAATCTACGTAGAGGAGAGCGGAGGCACGAACCACAAGTACTTCTGCCTGGCAAGCTTAAAGTGCCGCAGCAACAAGAAGATCATCCCATGCCCAAAGGGAGACCGCAGCAACGTCAACACGCATCTCAAGAGACAGCACAAGATGCAGGGGACGGAAGGAGTGAAGAAGGGAAACACCAAAAAGGAGACGCAAACAAGCATCCAGTCGGCCTTGGCTGCGAGCACAAACTCGGGCCTCGGCAAAAACAGGTGTGAAATCATTTTTGTTTGTTCTTTGTTTTTTTTGGTGCTTTCGCGGTTGCGAGTACCGAGTACCCTACAGACGGAAATTACCCCCGATGTAACATACATCTGTGAGTACCCTACAGAACACACCTAAAACAAAAAAAAAACAGGTTCGACTCCCCAAGACATTGTCCACTATTGGTCCATTGCGCCATGCCAATGTCACGCTTCCATCTTCGACATTTTGATTTCAAGGGAGAAGGCACATCCTGCTGCAAACGCGTTTGGTTGCTCATACCCTTCTCGCATCCTAAACCTCCCCGTGTTGCGTGTTGCGGCAATGTTTTGTGCTTGTATTTTCAGAGTTCGCGAGCTCTTGTGCACGGAAATGGTTGTCGAAAAGTTCTTGCCGTTCTCCTTCTTTTCATCTGGGAGATCGTGGAGGCGGACGATAGGCTTCGAGGTCTCCGGCGACACACCGTACCCGCCGCTTCCTAGCAAGCGCATCAAGCACCTCCTGGTGGAGATGTATGTCGCCACCAAGAAGGTCAGTGATGTTGTGCACCACGCCCTCGCCTCTCTACATAGCTACTCCTTTTTTTTTACTCGGTTGTTGAACGTTTGTTTACTGTATTTTTTCCTCCGCCGCTCTCTTGTACTTCAAGTGACACTTTTTTCGGTCCAATTCTTTATTTTTCGGCTTAACTCGAGATGTACCGAAACAAACATTTTTTTTTTGTTTTCGGGGACTTTAAACATCAACATCCACGGGGTTTGATGGTTGATGGCACAGCGTCAATGTGTTGCTATCGGCATATATATTATATTTCATCAATCTTCATTTTCCCGAAAAATCGTGCTGGTCTATCGACATAACTATGTTGCTCTGTGTCGTTGATTTGATTCCCCTTGCCCCCGCAGGCTGTGGTGGGGAACATGCTGACAGAGATCGAGAGAGCACCGCTGCCCATCGTGCACTACGGGATCGACCTGTGGCAGTGCAAGATTACTGGCCTGAAGTACATTGATGTCCACGTGTGCTACGTCAACGGCAACTTCGAGCTGCAACACGCGCTCCTTGCTGTAAGTTAGATTGAATTGTTGTTTCCCTATCGGCTGTCCCTCCGCAATGTATTCGGGGCACTTTCGGTGATTGTTTGCAGAATCTCACATGCGTACCAGTTTGAAGTGTACAGGAGCGTACAAGAGTAAGAGCGCTGTGTCTGCTACTGCTGATGCTTAATGTATGTCGGCGTGTGTCCGCGAACATGACCCCCCCCCTCCCCCCGCGCTTGTTGCATAGGTGAAGCACTACGCCCCTTCAGCTGCCGTTCAGGTAACGGACAAGGCCAGCGAAATCCTCTTCATCGTCTTCAAGTCCGTGCTGCGCGAGTTCGGCGTCAAGATCTCGGACCTCGCTGGTGGAACGACGGACTCGGGCTCCGACGTCAAGGCAATGTGCGTCAACTTCCTTCTGGCGCAGCACAAGGTCTCCTGGGACTGGTGCGTCTGCCACTTGGCGGACAGGGCTGCCGAGCACGCCTTCGGCACCTCGGCGGACCCCCAGAAGTCGAAAAACAAGGATGCGCGCGGGGTTGTACAACTGGTCATCAAGGCCGCAGCCAAGGTCAACCAGTCGCCCGTCTTCAAGCAGAAGTTCGACGAGGCCCAGTTGCAGATGACGGGCGAGGTCTTGAAGATCCGGAAGCACGCGCCTTAGCGATGGCTGAGCCTCGTCCGCGTTATGGAGCGCATAATTCGCTTGTGGCATGTCTGGAGGAAGGTCTACGCCAATGATGGCGTATAGTTCCCCCTGGACAAGGGCGACAGCAAAGACGACATCCTCCAACTCTACCCGCTGCTCCGGCCTCTTGCCGCCATTACGCGGGACGGGCAGTACGGCGCCGTCCCGATGTCGGCAGAAATGCCCATGGCGTTCGCCGAACTCAAGCAGGGGGTGCTCGACCCCACAGGGCCGCTGAAGGTGTTCGACATTCCCCCGACCCCGGCTTCTCCAGCAGCGCTGCAGTCGGACGAGGAGCTCCCGGTGACGGTGAACACTGGCAAGAAACAGCTGCCGCACAAGACGGTGGAGCCGGCTGCCTTGCGTCCAGTTGCCACCAAGACTCGGGAGTTGCTCGGCAAAGCCCTTGTGGAGAAGTTGTACGCAAGACTTTGGGACGAAGAGAGCGCTGACTCTTTTCCCTTTCGCAACGCCTCTGTGCTGCTCACTCCGTCGTACAAGGACTCCAAATTTCTCGATGCGCACGCCTTGACGGCAGGCGATGCGCAGCACCTTAGCGAAGGCAAAGCTCACTTGGTCCCTACCCTCGACGACGACGTGCAGAGTAAACTGGACGCTTCCTGGGCGGACATCAGGTAAAGGGCGTCGGATGCTGCACGAAAGAAACACTCGGAAGCTGCGACCGGAGAAGACGGCCAACCGCCTCTGAAGCGCTTCTGCTCGCCGAGCGGGGCAACCAAGCCTAGGTTTGCTTCCCTGCGCGCAACAGGGCCCGCCACGAATTTGCAGACGAAAGTGACGCCGACAGCGAGATAAACGTGCTCATGCAGCAGGTGTCCCAGGAAATCGAGCGCTATCACTCGCTGTATATCACGGCAGAAGAGGTGAGTTTGAATTGGGTCCCAGACATTATTATAATCGAGCATCGAACGGAACGGCGAGAAGGGCCCCGAGCTGGCCCCGGTCGCAAGTGCACGTAGGGGTACGAGCGAGCTGCAGTAAGTTCGTCGTTCTTCCTGGTGGCGCGGTTATTACTCGTGTTTATCTTATCTTCATTTTTTCCTTTTCAACCCTTCCCACCCTTCCTTCCGGTAGCGCCGCTGCTGTTGTGCAGTTGGACACCCGTGAAATTCTGCCTTGGTGGCGGCAAACAGGTCGCAAGACTTTCCCGTACCTGGCACCGGTAGCGCAGCAAGTATTCGGGAACCAGGCGGGTGCCGCGCAGGTAGAGCGCGACTTCAGTGGCTGCGCCAATCTCCTCACACGCAACAGGAGCCGCATGGACACCTACTGGGTAGAGATGGTGATGTTCCTCCACGCCAACTTCGAGCACATCCCCGGCATCAAGGACATTCCCATGATTGCCGCGAAGGATATTCACACATGTCTGCCGCCACGGTTCAACGGGGGGGATGCTGACCTGGCGGCCGCTGAGGCCGCCTTCGACGTGATTCAAAACACCGAAACCGGGGACGTCGACCTGTGAAGGTCGCGAGCGTTGGATGAGTAGTCTATGTTTCTTGGCCTACGGAAGTACGTCGTGGCAGTCAACGTAGATTGAATCGGAGTGGGATGGGAAGGATTTTGCTCCGGGTCGGGGGTGGCTGTGTCCTTGCGGGTGTGGTTTTGATTTTGATGCAGAGGGCCATTGTGTTGTGCGTTATGGCGCCCTTGACTCTGCCTTTACCTTCGTCTCACACACGTACGTCGTCAAACTCATGTTGTGCAGGATAANCAGTCAACGTAGATTGAATCGGAGTGGGATGGGAAGGATTTTGCTCCGGGTCGGGGGTGGCTGTGTCCTTGCGGGTGTGGTTTTGATTTTGATGCAGAGGGCCATTGTGTTGTGCGTTATGGCGCCCTTGACTCTGCCTTTACCTTCGTCTCACACACGTACGTCGTCAAACTCATGTTGTGCAGGATAAGTACCGGGGGTACTCTGTACGCACAGAGTTCTGTCACACCCCCTGTACCCTACAGAATAGTTATGTGACGTCTAGTCACAATACCCTATCTGCACAGAACGTTCTGTATCATCCTCCGTACCCTACAGAAAAATTCTGTGCATTTGTATCATCCCCCGTACCCTACAGAATAATTATGTGTGATTCTGTGGTGCCTCCGTACCCTACAGAATAGTTCTGTGACGTCCATTCACAATACCCCATGTGCACAGAAAGTTCTGTATCATCCCCCGTACCCTACAGAATAATTATGTGTGATTCTGTGGTGCCTCCGTACCCTACAGAATAGTTCTGTGACGTCCATTCACAATACCCCATGTGCACAGAAAGTTCTGTATCATCCCCCGTACCCTACAGAATAATTATGTGTGATTCTGTGGTGCCTCCGTACCCTACAGAATAGTTCTGTGACGTCCATTCACAATACCCCATGTGCACAGAAAGTTCTGTATCATCCCCCGTACCCTACAGAAATATTCTGTGCGTTCTGTAACAGCCCCCGTACCCAATATCATGGAAGGTTCTGTGATACCCCCTGTGCCCTGCAGAGAGTACCCGTACCCTACAAAACGCACCCTTGTAAAAATACGTCAGTCTCCGTGCGGTTGAATACACAAAATGCTTCTAAAGTCCACGGTGCACTACTCTCCGGATGGAAGACATTTACCTGTAGCAATATCAGAAGAAAACTGCACATGTGTATGTGTACCATGGCTACTACGACTTTGGACAGTCGCTCGTCTCGGATTGCTTTCTTCATCGCCGTCCCTGCATTTACTATCACCACTCGTCTCCAACATTCCCACTACTTTTTGGCAGGTCCTCTTCAGTCCTGCGGCGTTTGTTGTGAGAAAGGTCATCTAGCTACAAGATGCTTCTTTCATGCCGTGTTTTCCACCTCCATCATCGCCTTCATCCTCCTTTCTTCCCTTTCCCTCACCTTCATCTCGGCCACTCCCAAAATGATTGCCCTTCCCTTTCCCTCACCTTCACCTCGGCCACTCCCAAAATGATTGCCCTCGATACGATCGTTATCGTTTTCACCAAACTACTACTGAAATCCGAACCTATTGGCCGTGGTGGAAGTTGGTCAATCAGTAGTCCATGACGTTTGAAAACATCACGAGTTCGTGCCGACAGAAGACGAGCCACCTCGAAGATAAACCGTCTCCGAATTTTGTTGGTATGGTTAGCCTTGAGGCGAAGAAAGGCTGTCTCATCGTCGAAATTCCCCCGTGCAACATGCTTCTTTGGGCCAAATGGTTGCGTGTGTGTGTCTTGTGTCTTTTTTATTTGCATCGACAGCGCTAACCGGCTGACCAATGAAACATATGTGTGTTTATCCTGCAGTACGGCGGTGACTTGTTGGGTATCACACGTATCGGAGTGTTCGCACGGGGGTGTGCGTTGAAAACACCCGGTTCTACTGCTGCAGGGGTTTCGGTTAACTCAGAATCGCACCGGTTGGAGATATCGCACCCCCCGCAAAAAGCGCAAGGTTCGAAATGATTTTGTTCGATTTTCGCGCGGGAATCGGTGATATGTGACGAGTCCGTGATATCGCACCCCCTTGCGATAGTAAGTCAAGAGCGAAATGAAAAAAATCGACCGCTACCCCATGCGTCTTTCGCATCCTGACGGAACGCATCGAATGATCGAATGCGGTAGAAGTTCGTAAGAACGCTAAACTTTTTTTCTGCCGCAAGGCCTTTTCTTGTTGTGCCTCCTTGTCCCACTCTCACGTGTCTCTGCGCCAGCAACCAACTACGGCAAGGCAACGACATTGTCTGACAGCAGTAGCTGAGTTCCCGGTAGAGTTGATTCCTCTTTCCACTCTCGCCGGAAGCATAGCGCGCTAGTGTAGTGCTAGCTGCGTCTCCATGGTCGCCTCGTCCTCCGTTGTTTTTGGAAGCAAATTACGGTGGCGGCCTTCCCGTGGCGGAGTGGGACAGCCGAACACCGCTGAAATCATGAAGAAATCGATTACATCTGTGACACTTACACCCTCTGTTCTCCATGCTCTTCTTGATGACCGCGCGTTCGTGTACAACAGGCGCCGGTGAGCCCACCAACATCTCCCACGGCAGGGTCGGCAGCAGACGAGAATTGTGATGCAAGGGGCAGCAGCGATGACTCCAACGACAGCAGCAGCAGAAATCTGGACTTGACCTCCTCTGACACCGTGGCCTACTCCTCGCGGATGATAGCGGCGTCCAGAGCGTTGGAGTCGCGACGCCGGGACCGCTTGTTCGACGACCCTTACGCCGAGCTGCTGGTGAGGGGACCGCCGTATCCCGAGGATAATGAAAAGCGTTATGTTGTATGTGAACTAGAGAGAGGTGGTTTCGTAGCCCTAGCCCCCGACCCAACACCATAACCCCTTCTAAAACCAAGCTTAATAATATTGTACCCGAGTGACACGCTAAACTGTGGCGAGGGGCGTTCGTTGGAGCGAACCATACACAGCCGTATGTGCTTACAATACAAGAGGACACACCCCGTCGACAATCTATATCTAACTTTTTGGATTTTTTTTATCACCTTGAAGGGTGTGTTATCGTCAGTAGTCTACACAGCAAAATTGATAAAGCAAACATGTGGGATAAAGCATTCAATCCGTGCTTTGGGGTTAGGGTTCGGGTTGGGGATAGGGTCTGCGTGCCCCCTCTCTATTTTTTTTCTAGATACTCTTAAACTCCTGCGTAGGCGGTCCGTTATCGTTAGGGGCGCATGGTACATTACTTGTGTCGCCGAGGCACTTGATTTTGATGTGCGCGTAGTTTTGTACTCCGGACTCATGTTGACCCTTCAAAGTATTGCCACCTGGTGTGGAGGGTGGTGGTAATTTGTGAGTGGGTGTGAACTTATTTCGAATACGGAAGTCTGTCTACTCCGCATGGTCACTTTGGGAAAAACCACCTTCGCTCAGCGAGTCTCGCGCAGTGCGGAGCATGCACGTACCGCATCCATTGTGCCGTGGGTATCGGATGTCATTCGCTTGGTGACAGCAGTGTCGTGCTTGCCCTCCGTGAGCCAATATTTTCGATCGGGAGCGCCGCCACTTGCCATGCCTCTGGCAACGATGGCGCTCGATCTTGTTTTTCTGCGTCCGGGTCCTTCTTCCTTGGGCCGTCTAATCCCCGCCCCGGCCTCCGCGGAATGCCTGAAATAATTTTTTCGAGCTACCTTTGCCCATCGGCGATCGGTTCTCTGTTGGAACAATGCTCCGTCCTTTCGAGGTCAATGATATACCAAGTAAGGCATCGCTCCCCCCTCCCCAGTGCCTCCAGCTTCTGGTTCGTCCTTGAGAACGTGGCCTGGGCCGGCGATAACCCGGCAGTTTGCGCCGTCCCGGCATTGTAAGGATGCGAGGTCAGTGGGCCAACGACTACGGCATGCGTTTACATTAGTACCCCCCCTCCGTCTACTTGTTGCTTCAGGCCGGCCCCGATGCCATGCAGACCGCCGAAGACCGGGAGAAGGCCAAAGCGCACGAGGAGTCGTCAGCACCACCTCTGGATCCCACCGCCGCCGCTACCGCTGCCGTGGCAAGCAATGGTGTCCCTAGGGACGTCCAGAGGCGGCTGGCCATCCGCACACGCTTCTGCGACGACTTCTTCGAGGATTGCGCAGGGCCGAGGGGTATCAAGCAGGTTAGCCTAGCGTAGCGGTCTTTGCGGCCATATGGTTCCAAGAAGGGCATCAAGCAGGTTAGCCTAACGTAGGGGTCCCTGTTGCAGGTCGCATGTTGCCAAGGGGTTTCGGCCAGCCTTACGCCGGACACCCGACGCTATTCAGAGTTTAAGACAGCTTGAATATGCAATGTGATTCACACACAATTTCACTGGCGACGGGCGTTGTTCAACGGCGTCCCCTACTGCACCCGCCTGGGGAGTGGTGGTGGAAAAGCAGAAACGGGCATCGCCCGAATTACGAGCACGTACTTGGATGGCTTTGCTCGTAGCCCATATCGATTCATTCCTGCTCCGCCCTCTGACGCCACCCGAATCTATCTCCTCGTCCGGACCGTCGCAGTGCTGGTCTTTGCGCTTAGTTTTCTCGTAACGTAGCGTACGCCCCCGGGGCCCTAGACTACCCCACAGCAGCCAAGCGGCACATCTGGTGTCCACTTGCGCCCTGCAAGGAGAAACGGATCATTTGGTATGAAGTTTGATCGGCGCGCGCGGGGGGGGGGGGTCACAGGTGGTTCCTGGCTGCGTGAGAGAACCCTGAGGCTTGTTGCTCGTAACTAGGAGGATGTCTCAAACCCGGTACTCAGCGTGTCGATCGTGGCCGGTCGTCTCCAAAGCCCAACACAATCCACNCGCGCGGGGGGGGGGGGGTCACAGGTGGTTCCTGGCTGCGTGAGAGAACCCTGAGGCTTGTTGCTCGTAACTAGGAGGATGTCTCAAACCCGGTACTCAGCGTGTCGATCGTGGCCGGTCGTCTCCAAAGCCCAACACAATCCACGCTCGTGTCTTCTCACAGTAACAACCTCTCCTCTAAACAAATATGGCCGCACAGCCCTCTCGTGTGCTACGGCGTTCCCCGGACGCTGACCATGCTATCTCTACCCTTGGCCGTATGTGCGCTTGCAGATCGTGTCGTTGGGGGCGGGCATGGACACGAGGGGGCTACGGCTCAGGGCTTCGGGGGACACCAAGGTGAGCAGAACGTGGGTACCCGCGCGCTTGCTTGCGTGAGCGGGGGCGGGGGAATAAAACAATCTGAATCTGCGTGAGTGGTGAAATTTGAGGGGGGGCGGCCAGGACTGCTTCGGCTTCGCACATTGACAATTCGTGTCTTCCCGAAACGTCAGCTGGTAATGGTGTTTTTTGCACACCATGACCTGCTTGTTGCCGTTACTGTTGCTGTTGCTGTTGCTCCTGCTGCTGCTGCTGCTGCTGCTGCTGCTGCCATAGGTGTTGAAAGCTGACCGTTCGGGCGTGCTTGGCACCGTGGATACTCGTGGACATTGCTTCGAAACGCAACCCCATCGGTCTTTTCCGATGTGTGCCCCGATCATGTTCGAAGAGTAGGCCAAGCATGTCGAGCTTCAAGCCCTTCTGAGACACAATTTTGCTACGTGTGCTGGATGTGTTGATATTTTCATGTTTTGCCTTTCACCTTTTGAAGCACCGTCGGCGTGTTTCGAACCCGACTGAGCAATCACGGAGTGTTTCCCACAACCACCGAGAGGGTTTTCTGCAACCACGGAAATGAGCACGAACTCGGACCCAACACTGCTGTGCCTTGTTTTCGTGACTCTCTCGCTTTTTTTTTTTCTTTTTCCCTCCACCACTGCTGTTCGTATGTGTAGGTGTTCGAGGTGGACCAAGCGCTCGTGCTTCGCGTCAAAAGCGCCCTTCTCACCCAAGCGGCGGCGGCCGACAAAGTAGCCGCGGCGGTGGCGGGGTTTCGAGAGAGGAGGGACGGCGGTGTCGGCCAGGGGCGCGTTGTCCCTGTGGAGGCCGACCTGAGCGTGGAAGGGTGGCAGGGGGAGCTGTTCGAGGCGGGCTTCGACCCCAGCCTGCCGAGCGCGTGGATCTTGGAGGGGCTGACCATGTGAGGATGCTTGGAACGTTTGATTGTTGTTATTGTCGTTGTGCCCGCTGTCATCGGTTGCGTATCTTATGTGGTGGTCTGAAGGCAGGCGTGACTAGCTTGTACACTCGTCATATCAGTTACATGCACATGATCCGACGACAGAAGGGAGAGAACGAAGACGGGACTACTCACAAGTCGACGATGTCCCAAGAAAGGGATTGTCAGAGACCAATTGAAGGCATGCACTGCAGGAGGAATGGGTGGGAGGAAATGCTGTGAGTGCTGATGTTATGTAGAATTAAAGCTGAGACACACGCATAATATTCCTCGCTTCGTTTTCGTTGCCAAACAGGTACCTAGGGGAGGAAGAGCTTGTGGCATTGCTTCGGGTCCTGGCCAGCCTTTCCTCCGCTGGAAGGTATGCTCGCCTGCCGGTTGATACCACGGGTATTTACTTTGTGCAAGCCGTTGAAATTATGCGCCATGCCTGTAGATTCCACGGAATTTCTCCCGGGAAGGTTTACCCGCCTGCCGCTTAATACCACGGGTATCAACTATGTGCGCAAACCGGGTATATTTCGCCTCATGCCGGTAGATCCCACGAGTATCCTCCACGGTAAGGTTTCTCCGCCTGCCGGTTAGTACCACGGGTATTTAATGTGTATGCAAACCGGATGACATACGCCTCCTGCCGATAGAGTCCACGTTTTTTTTTTTCTTCAATTTCTGCCTGGAGGCGAAGGCCAACCTTTCCCCTCCAGANCCCCTCCAGGAAGGAAAAGCTGTACTCCCTGCCGGTAGGTTGATTACCATGTGGTTGTGCAAACCGTCCACGGGCGCGCTTTGAATGGTTTGGTCGCCGTTCTGGATGTGGAATGGTGTTGTTTTTCCCTCATTCGGAAGGGGTTCCGCGGTGGTGCGGTACGGTACATCGGTGAAAGAAAGTCCAACCGCACTGCTGTTGCCACAGCAAGGTGGCCGCTTTGGGAATGGAGGACGGAAACGGTTGAATCATGGTCACCAAACCGGTCTCCGGGAGAGTGTGACCCCGCTGCACTACTGCGGAACCTCTGGTGGGCATGATCTTGTTGGGCCGTTTTGGAATTGTGCCGGCAAAGTTGAAGCGGGGATTCATTCTTGTATTGTAGTACTCTGGATCATATCGACGAATGGCTAGGCTCTTCCTCTCCTGCGATCTGTTGTGTTTTCTCTCCTCTGCCCATGTCGCTTTCTTCTCGCCTTCCACTTTTTTTTGCAGATCAGCGACGACGATCATTACCCGTTTTGCCAAAGGCCACTTGAAAAGTCACCAAATGCAGCCCTTCACACGCGCATCACTTATTACCCTCCCGGCTTTCTCCCATCAGCGCGTTCATTCTCTTACCATCTATCCCTGCCTTCTTTTTTTGTGTGTGTGTTTGTGTCATTGACATCCTCCATCGCAGCGCCTTTTGTGCCACGTGCGTCTCGGCGGAGTCCGTGGAGCGGGCCCATAACAACGCCAGCCCCCTGATGGGCCGCTGGAAATGGGGCAGCGACAACCCTCAGGCTTTCTTCGAAGGTGACCAACCCACTCTCTGTCTTGCTGTCCATTTTGACTTTTTTTTCTATTTGTTTTGTCATGCGCGTTTGTAGTTTCCAAGGCGGTTGGCTCGAGACCCTACGATGATGAGCTTATCACGTCACGTGTTACATGCTGTTTCTTGCATCACTGCTACCCCACCCCCCTCTATCAAAAAACGGACTTGCAGCCAACTTTCCGGAAGGGTGGTCGTTCAACGGGGTGACCTGCGGTACCCCCGGAGAGTTCCCTGAAGGGGCCGACTACGGAGTGGGTTTCGTGGGCAAGGCGCCGGCGTACGTCATAGGGTACTTTTCGTCGTCGTCGTCTTCTTCCTCCGGGGGGGGCTCCGGCTAGTGGTGACCCTGGCCGGGGACGAATAGTTTTTTGGAAGAAAGTGGGAGACGTGGTTTGTGACATTTCAGCAGCCGTGTGGTGGTTAACAATGTTTTGTGATTGGTGAGCATGATGGATAAAGCATACAATCGGGGACGTTGGGATAGGGTTAGGGTTACGGAATAGGGTCTGCGCATCCGCTCCCCGTTGTATTTCCTCATTAACCTATTTCTCGCGAAGGCGGGTCTGAGATTTTGGCGGGGGCAGTGTTGTAGGAAGAATCTGTATGTGGTGGATTCTATCATGTCGTGTCGGTACTGCTTGTAGTTTTGGCGCGAGTGTTGATTTCTTCGGAAGTACTTTCGTATGTAGATATTTGGGGCATTAGCGACGAGGAGGACGGGAGAGGTAGAGTTCATGGGGAGGTTGTACAAAATATATTTCGGTAGTCCGGAAGCCATGGACTTGTGCTGTATGGCGTGAGGAATCATCGTGAACAGATCGCAACTCATGCATGCGGAGGCCGGAGTTTGCCACCGCTCCAGGTGCATGAGGTTCGACTCTCGCTGCGCCATCCGGAGCGAGCCCACACAACCCGTGTGAAGTGCACCCATGTGTGTAGAGCCGATAACAACCTCAGGGGTTACCAGTCGGAAACATCACTTTTACTTATTGACGGTAGAGGCCACACACACGCACACAGAGAGCGCCTTGGTCCTGACCCCCCATCTCGAGCTCTACACCCACATCCACACCTGTACCCGTACCGTTCATTAACCCGTTTCCGTACCGTGAACCCGTTCCCGTCCTAGATAATTGCGCCAACGTACCCAGGTTGACTCAGTCTCGAGAAGCCCCCGCTCTAAGGCCCTTCGATCCACCACTCTACTTGACTAATGAATATCAGTAGGCTACCGTTTGCTAGTTAGTGTATATTACATCCCCTCCCTCCCCCTCACAGTCACACCACGAAAAATTGCTGTGCACCGATCAGCGATCAGCACCAATCGTAACAAAGTAGTGCAGTCACGAGGGACCCCCGCTACAGGGTCCCCCGAACAAGCAGCTTGTTCTCTAGTAGTGTGGGTCCCAATACCGGGCACACTGCGCGGAGCCGCGGCCGCGGCCTCGCTTGCGCTAAATTATTCTGTTAGAGAAACAGCGAAAGACATGAAATATTGAACCACTTAAAAGTCTGTGCACCGATCGGTGTGGCGCCTATCTACGTTGAATAACATTAGTTCAACCTCTTCAACGGGGCCATCATCGCTTTGTTCAAGAGGTTGTAACACACCCAACCTACTCCGGTTCCAAGAACACCAAACACCCCAGATCACTTTGCTCTCCGGATTAACTGGGCAATTCACGAGGAAAAGCACGCAGTCAAGCAGACATAGATCGCCATCGCAAGGTCGGAGAGGAAAACCTCCATACCCTGCTACTTGTATACAAAAAAGATACTTCACGATTTGACACTCTAATAGAAAAAAAAGAATAATAAAGTACTTGAAAACAAAAGATAAAATACTTCAAAGCGACAGAATCAGCAAAAAATGCTTCATTCTCGAATGCTTAGGATAGACGTGAAGTGAAGTGCAGCGAACGCACCGGAGGGGGGCAAGAGAAGTGAATACCCAATTTTCATTCCTCGGGTCAAGCGGCGACCGCTGTTCAACGCGCTGCTATCTACCGCTACCACCGCGCAAAGACTGAGGTACAAGCTTCACAGCTTCATACTACAGCGGAAACAATCCAAGTCGAGGAGCACGTCATCAGCAATCAACCATACACAAGGTTCACGCACTCCTTCGTGGAAGGCTGTGCCGTAAAAAGTTGCACCAAACAAAGGTCGCTTCTATCTCCCATCGTTTTGGGCCGCGATGCCCGTGTTTGAACTACATGTACTATGGACGTACCCGACGTTCATCTAGACAGACAACGTATGCTCTTCTGGCGCACCCCACCACTTGATTGTGTCTGTCGACGCTTCCCTCGCTCTCGCCTCCTTTGTTGCCGCGGTCCTACTCCCTCTCGCTCTGGCTATCGTCGTCGTCGTCGTCGTCCATCCGCTCGAAGCACGGACACACCAACGACGACAATGTCGCCGACACCGCCCTCACTGCCCGGCAGATCCCCCCCGTCGCCGGGCTCGGCGAACGGGCAAAATGGAACCAGGTGGCGAAGGGGTTCGTCGACGACGGAGCCGCGGCATCGTCAGCGCCGCCGCCATCGCCGCCGCCGCCGCCGCCGCCGCCGTCACCGCCGCCACCGCCGCGGGCCCCCGCTGTGTTGTGGACGGCGACGGGGACCGGGGCGAGGGCGTCCAAGACTGCGGCAGCAGCAGCATCAGCAGCGGCACCAGCGGCACCAGCACCCGTCCACGCTCCTTCTCCCAGCAAGGGGCCGACCACGAACAGCCACGCGGCGGAATCCGCGAGGCTGACTTGCTCCGATGGCGGGGACGGCGGGGACGGTGCGGACGGCGGGTGCGGCGGCGGTGGTGATACCGCCTCTTGTCCGCGGCTGGTACTCCATCCCAAACCGATGCGGTCGGGAGAGGAGGCAAACGGCAGTTCGGCGGCGCCGTGCTCCTGCCACTGCTGCTGCTGCTGCTGCTGCTGCTGCTGCTGCTGCTGCTGCTGCTGCCACGTGTGACTGTCCGGCGAAGGCGCGGAACGCGGCAGCGGCTCGGATGGTGGGGACGGCGGGGACGGCGGTGATCGCGACGACGGCGGCGGTGGCGGGCGTGGTGTCGACGACGGTCCGCGGGGTGGCGACGGCCACGAGCGGAAGATCGAGTCCTGCCTGTCGAAGAGACCGTGGAAGGAGTCGGATACGATGCCGTCGAAAACGCCCGTGTCCCTGGATGGCGGCGGTTGAATCGCAGCGTCGAACTGCACGGACGGGGTGCACGTGGGTGGGGGGGGTTCGGAACGGCGGGAAGGTTCGAGAGGAGGGGGACAAGCAGGTTGTTGTAAAGGGTGCGACTTTGCTGCAAAATATCACGAAGGTCGGGGCTTGGTACGACGCCGCACCGTCTAGCCGACAGCAATATTCCAGCGAAAACAAAACGACACCCACGACGCTGGATGTTACACTGGAAAACACGAACGTACCGTTACACAGGTATTGTTGAAGCTAGAAATCAAATACTAGAAGGCTACTTCTTACCATGGCCAGGGAGTCCGGAGCCTGCCCTCCGCCGCCGCCGCCGCCTCCACCGCCGTAGCCGCAGTCACCAACACCGCCGCTGGCGTCGTCCCCGCCTCCACCAACACCCGGCGGTGACGCCGCGCCGCCAAGGCTGTCACCGGCCGCCGCCCCCCCTGCTCCCGCCGCCGCTCTCGCCGCCGCCGGCGAGGGGATTCCTGCGTGAGACACGGAGCTCTCAATAGTCACCGTCTCACTAGCTATGTAGGTACAGCTGTACCCGACCGCCATGGATGCGGCAGCTACTTCCGGACTGCCGGCATACACCTCCCCGCCGATCATCCCACTGCCCTCGGCCTTCCTGTTGGCCCTCGTGGCCCCCATCTCCGGGGGCTCAAGGAGGGATAGAAGTATCGTCTCCCTCATGAGTCGTTCCTGAACGACCGGGTCTCCTAGGCCCTCCAGCCCCGTAGGAGCAGCGGGAGAAGGGGACGGCGGCGGTGACTCGTCGTGTGACAAGCCATCGACCCCACCGCTCTCGCCGTTGTCGGCGGTGCTGTTCACACCGGCACCTGGTTGTTATGGATGGCAACGTCAAAGAGCGACGGAAAATACAGTGTCCAGGAACAGGGGGTGAGAAACAGAGGCATTGCCAACCAAAAACTCGACGTCAGTCAGGGGGGCGGGTCTGCCGCGCATTCAATCCATGGTGTGGTCAAAGATTCGGGGTATCGATCGAGCGCATACTATTGTACTATGGGTACCTGCACGGAAGATTCAACGGCGCCCCGTTCTTCAGGGCACCACTCGCCTTTGGAACACGCATCGATCGCTCAGACTCTACTGACAAAAAACACAGGGACGGGAAGATGACTGCATAGTGTTTCGATTCGAAAATGCAAAACCACATCGTGTTGCCGGCAGCTAAACACGACCCCGACAGGGATCGACAGGACACAAGACGAAGGGAAATTGCCGTAGACAACAGAATGGTATCCGCGCATGAATGCCGACCCCCTCGACACCATCCTATCCTGGGGCATTGCAACCAACCAAACGGGCAGAATCATGGATGATTTTAGGGTGGGGGGGAGGCGTGAGGTTTTGGCGAATGAAAAACTCAACACAAAGCGAGCGAGTGGCAGCGGGTCTATCAACCCCGGCTTGTTGGTTGTGCATTGACGTTTTGTGTGGATCGGCCGCGCTGTTGCGGAAACTGCGTAGTAGCTCGCCTTCTCTCTGGGGTGTACGAGGAGTCTCCCACGTATTCATGTTCCCGAGGTCCTGGAAAGATGAACATGGGGTCGCTGGTTCCGTTCCGGGGTCAACCGGCGATCTCGCCGCCTTCACCGAATGCCGTCCAAGCCGACCGTTCGGGAGGCCCCCAAAAACCCTTCCCACAAGCCTGTTGAAGTTGGTCACGGGGGGAGGGTCGCAACACCGGTGTCAGCCATCAAGATATCCATCCAAGATCAGCGGTGCTTCCCACGTGCGAGAAACATGATCGCATTCCTCCATTGCTGCGGAACCCTTACTTAGCATACAAAAAGGCTTTCCCGTACTTTGCCTAGACTAGAACAGGATTTCCTGCCGATACCCCCGCTACAATTGAGCGCCGGCCTGGTCGGCCGTTGGGTAGGTCTCCGAACACACGACCCACCAGCCTGTATAAGGTTGGCGGGGGCGGGGGACGGTCGCAACTTCGGTGCGTTTGAAGGCCTGCCCAACGGCTGGCTAGGACGGGGTTCGATCAAAGCGGGGGGATGGGCGGATAAACCTGTTTTGTCAGCAATCGAAACATCCATCCAAGGTAAGTGCTTCTCGTCTTGAAGAAATACCATCGCACTCCTCGATTGTTACAGAACAGCCGGTGCTACTGAAGCTTCACAGCAAAGTTTCCAACACTACGTTATGAACCAGATCTCCCGCCAGCAACCCTTTTTTGCCATGCGACCTCTGTATGTGTCGCCTGTCTACGTACGCCACTATTTCCCCTCCCCATAGTCCACGCCTCTAGCTTTTACTTAGCCCAAGAATGTTCAAAAATAGCGTAGCGTTTGTACCACGGGGCGCGAGAAGCAACATGAACTGCCTGCCTTTACCCGAGTTGGTGTTGGCCCGGGGCTTACCTTCTTTTGGCGTGCGCCCGCGAGCATGTATCGTTGTTTTTTGGCGTGTTTACCAAGAGAGTGCGGGTTGGAGCACTTGTATTTGAGCCTGTGTACATCCATCCACAATNCCCAAGAATGTTCAAAAATAGCGTAGCGTTTGTACCACGGGGCGCGAGAAGCAACATGAACTGCCTGCCTTTACCCGAGTTGGTGTTGGCCCGGGGCTTACCTTCTTTTGGCGTGCGCCCGCGAGCATGTATCGTTGTTTTTTGGCGTGTTTACCAAGAGAGTGCGGGTTGGAGCACTTGTATTTGAGCCTGTGTACATCCATCCACA